AACTTAATCATGCAATTAAAGGGGTTTATAAATGCTGAATCCAACATGTCAGAGCTCCTGAGTAGCTTTCCTCCTAACACAAGAAAAGACTATTGTTGTGCTTAAATGCTCAGAGATTTACCTCACTCCTTCTTGGTCCCTTCTTCCTCTTTCCAGGAAAGTGATGTGATCCCTTCAGAGGAGAAAATCTACATGTTTCTGTCTTGAACTTTGTTATAAGCAGTGAAAGAACTTCATTTCTCTCTCGAGGAAGCATCATTTGCAGATCTGATTTGGGGTGTGTGTGGTGGGGGGAGGGATAGAGAGAGAATAAAATAAAATAAACAGTACAACATTGGTCCACATATGGAAATGTTAACTTGGCCCTTTAAATCAAAATAAGCAGGATTCTTACCCATAGCTATTAATTATGGCTAAATTCAGTTTGAAAAGCTATCATGGCACCAGTGTAAAAATAAATATTTTTTTAAAAGTCTATTTGAGAGAGAGAGAGAGAGAGAGAGAGAGAGAGAGAGAGAGAAATCAGACTTAGGAAAGTGGGGAAAACAGGAAAGTGGGTGGGTGATAACCGTTGCTATTTTCATAATCAAACAGTGGTTCCAAGATCAAATTCAACAATGAATATTTGTACTCCACTAAAGGGTGCCGGGATGCTTTCTGCTTGCTTTCCCATTCCCTCCAAGCAGCATATTAATGGGGAGAAGAGAGAATCATGGGGGAAAGGGGTGGGGGGAGGGAAAGAGGCTAAATGTATGGAAATGCAATGCTAGCAAATTAAATAAAATTCCTCTGTAGCCTATGCCTGAAGAATTTCTGCTTGATTTGCTGTTCGTTTTGAGCAAGCTGGGTTTCAAAGACAGAGGTGGCTGCCTACTTTCAGCAATTTGATTTTCATTGGATAGGATGCTTGTTTCATAGGATGCACACCACTTAGTGTGGTGGGACGCGCAAACTGAATTGGAAAGCCACGCTGGAGGAGCTGAGCACGAAAGCAGGAGGGGGGGAAGGGGGAGAGGGTAGCAGTAGTGGGGAATGAGCCTGAGATAGATTCTAGTCACGTCTTTACTAACTGACAAGGAGGCTAGCCAAAAAAGGAGTGAGAGAGAAGGCCCCAATTTCTTTTTGAGTCTTGGTAATTGGGTACTTTTACACACAGATCACGCTGTTGAGAGAACATAAAAGCTGGAAAGATCAATTACTTAAATCTAAGGTAGGCAATTCTCTTTCGTTGCTTTTTTTTTGTTTCATTTTTTCCATCACTGACACATACCTCCAGCAATTTTATGTACAGTGCCTTATAAAAGCAATTATATATTAATAGCCATTATGCCCCTCTCCTCACAAGCCCCTTAATTTCCTCCCAGCCCAATCTGACCCATCCACAACACCCTGTTTTATCAGGAGGTGGTCAAATTCGAAAGACTTGTAGATGCAGGAAAGAGCCCCCTCTCTGTTGGGATCCATTCTCTGGAGAAAATTTTGAAATGTCCAGTGGTTACAATGAAGGACAATGGAAGAGGCCGACAGGCAGGCCTCTCTTGATTTAACAGACATTTGCAAAATAGAAAGGCAAAAAAATACCAGCATAATATAGGAGCTTTTTGTATAGAAATCCTATATATGGCTATTTAGAAGTGACATGCCACCCAAATATTTGCCTTTTCTGTACAGGTTTGTTTAATCAATGGCAGAACAGTATACAACAACCAGGAAGACTTCATTTTAAATGAAACAAAAGTTTATTACCAAACTAATTTGTATAAAATGTTGTTACACATGACTTTTGTGAGTTTATAATAAAACACAATGGAAAGGCCATAGAAGAGTGTTTCCCCTTCTTTTTTCTTTTTTCTTCAAAAGGCAGCAGCTTGTAAAATAAATAGCTACCATTTTGTGTTTGGACAATAGCTGCATAAAGTTTGTTCATTTTGAACATTGTTTATTAATACATTAGCAAACTTTCTATAAAAAAGTAAGACACATTGGTGCTAAAGTACATTTGGAGGCATTCCCAAGTCCTTTACAAAACCCCATAACAAAAACATGGCAGTTGTAAGGTCATATTGTCTACACATCTAGATAGGAAGAGGTAATAAGCATCACATATCTTTAAAAAAGTTATCAAGATATACATATTTTATACCATTTGTACAAAAAAAAGGCTATAAATTTCTCTGGCTCTTATATACAAAAATAGCTTAATATATTCCCCAAGTTGGTTAGGCTTGATACAAATAGAATTTTTTTATATAATAAAAAGATTGCAAGAAAAAAATGGAAGCATTTTATAGTGGCAATGTTAGTGGGAAAGTAGACAAAGATTGGAGAAGACATATTTAAGAGGATTCTTTGAGTAGAGCGTAGTTTGGAGTTTCCACAGCTTCACAAGCATTAGGCAACTAGGATGGCAGGCCTTTTTCACACACATTTCAAAATAAATTTACTGAATTTAGTAAATGTGCTTAATATTGGTCTGACCACATATAATAATTATATTTGAATGAATTCTGTTACTTCTTGACACATATAATTAGATTGTGTTTCAACTTATGGTCAGAAAGTAGTGAAAATGTTTTTGGAAAGGGGGAAGAGGCAATACTGTGTTTCAGTAACAAGGGAAGCTCCTGGTTCTGTTGAAGATTTACGAATAGGCAGTAGTGAAATAGGCAGTATAATTTAACTTTGGGGGTAAAGAATAGGTAGATAGATGTTTTCACATTACAACCCTCCCTTTTGCTTCTGGGTCCATAGTCTGTAGCCTGATTTTACATGTTTACTTGCAAGTAAGCCCCACTTTCAGTAAGTGTATAAGAGATTGAAGCATTGGTCTTCAATTCTATGCATACGTATTGGGAATAGTAAGTCCTATTCAGCTCAGTGGGTTTTATTTCCTAGTAAATGCCCACAGACCTGGGCTGTATGTCTCTTTAAACAGCTGGAGTGCAAAGGCAGAATTTGGGAGTGCTTCAGGTTTTGTGGAGAGGAAGTTTAATTCCTTCTGTGCTTCAGTGTCTTGGCTTTCCTTTCCACAATGAAAGGGAAAAATAGTGGTAGTAAGATGGAATGATTTTTCAGGAAGTCCTGTGCAATATAAGGAAAGAGAAAAGAAAGCATTGTTAACATATGACCCAAATGGAAAACAGCAATCCTCAAAACAGTTGACTTTTGAATGACAGGTTGCTATTCCACAAAGCAAAACAAGTCTAATTTCTGAATATGTGTATATGTGATTGCACTCTACTTGCACATTTGGATTTAACTTAATACTACCAAGTAAATCATCTGAGGTTGTTATACAATTTTCAGTATATTCAGTGACAACCATTCCCAATTAACAATTGTGTCCTAGAATGTGCAGTCATATGTATCTATTCTGAAAGACTTGGAGATGATTATATATAAAAAATACATACAGTACTTGTAGCTTTAGTCTGTAGAATTAAACACATCTCATAGGAAGTCAGTCCTATTAAATATACGCATTTAATTGCACTAAATATAGGACTGTTTAATTAGTCTTTCTGAGCTTGTCTTCCATGGTGACTCTCAAAAGAATGTGCACCCAACCCCTAGACAATCTTCCAGTCAGGCACTGATGAGGCTCAGGATTTAAATGACATGACACGGGAAATCTATTTATGGTGATAGATATGACCTGTGTGACATGACATGACGTAAGTTGTCTACTTATGACCATGGATGTTCCTGCTAATTGTTACAGGATGGGTGTCGTCCCCTATCAGTCACAATTGGAAATAATTTCCTTTGGGTGTTTGTATCACAAAACTATGGGCCCTGTTACCTGGAAATGTTGACTTTCTTCCAGATAAATGCTTTTGGATTATAATGCCAGCAAACAGAAACTCAGGTATGATAGCTTATAATGTCTTCTAATTGATCTTTACACTTGTTTATTTAGGTGAGACACTTTAGGGTGGGATGAATGCAAGGAAACATACAACATCAGTCTAAGGGGAGAGTGGAATCCAGCTACTTGAGAAAAGCCCTCTGCCTTACTGAGATTCTCAGTAAGTATAGAAACTATTTTTCCAGAGCTACTACAATTATTTTTCTTATCTAGAGAGTCAGATTTTACAAACCCATTTATGCCAGGGCTGTTTTACTGATGGGTATTATTAAAGTCACTCAAGCTACTACAGGAGTATTTAGCGGTCTGCAGCAGCCTCACATGCAAATACTGTAAAGCTACATCCCCCCCTCCCACTTGTCACTTGGGAATCTAAGCAAGCTCTTTAATTTTGACAAAGTCACCCCATTGTCAGTTAAACCATTCACTCTTCCTTATTGCCATCAACTGAAAAATGGACCACAGAGTCAGTCGGGCCTCTCAGTTCTCATTGGCTGCGTGCACAGAACAGCTTAATGAGGTCAGTTAAAAAATTAATGGCTGCTCTCGCTCAACATGTCAAGCTTGGTTAATGTTAAGCTGGGGTTTTGTTTTGCCACTTAAGCATCTTCTGCAAAGCAGCCATTTGCTTTGATTTGTGGTTATTATGACAGCCCCTGTCAAGAACTAGGTTAAGACTGTTGTGGGACTGGAAATGGGATGTAGTTCTCATATTCCCCAAACCCCCATAGCTGCCTTTGGAGTCTTCTGCCGTGTTCCTTATGCTAAAGCGGGGGTCTCCAACCTTGGCGACTTTAAGACTTGTGGACTTCAACTCCCAGAATTCCTCAGCCAGCCAAGCTGGCTGAGGAATTCTGGGAGTTGAAGTCCACAAGTCTTAAAGTCGCCAAGGTTGAGGACCTCTGTGCTAAAGTCACTCGGCTGGGTTTTTAAAACGCCCTTCTTCAGAGCAGCAAGTGCTGCCTCCTTCTTCTTCTTCCTCCTCCTCCTCCTCTCCATGCGCACCAGGGGCCACGCGGCTGCCACCACCCCCCCCATCTCCCCTCTGTGCCTGGAATCCCCGCCCGAGAAGCCACGCTAAGCCAAACCCACCTGCTGCCTAGTCAAAGGCGGCGAGGGCCACCAGGGCCTCTCAGAACCAGTTGGTGAAATCCAGCAGTTCCTGCTCTTCGGGGCTGAGCGGGTCGTAGGACCCTTCGTCCGAGGAGTACGAGGAGACAGGCGAGCCTGCCATCGAGTTCATGTCGTTGGGGTAATTGGGGGAAATGGTGGGCGAGAGGACGCCGGCCTGGAAGGCGGCGCTGACGGCGTCGTGCTCGTCGAGCAGCTGCTGCAGGGCTCGGATGTACTCGACGGCCGAGCGCAGCGTCTCCACTTTGCTCATCTTCTTGTTGGCCGCGCCGTTGGGGACGTGCTCGCGGAGAGTGGCGAAGCCCAGGTTGACGAGCTTGACGCGGTTCCTCTCGCGCTCGTTCCGCCGCGCCACCGCCGCCGGCTGCTGCTGAGGGAGGCTGTAGCCGAAGCCGCTGAAGTTGAGGCGTCTCTTGCAGCGCATCAACTCCGGCGACGCCGAGCGCTGCCGCTTGACCTGCTGCTGAGGCGGCTGCTGCTGCTGCTGCTGCTTCGGCGCAGCCGCAGCAGACGCTTTGGCGACGCCCGGAGAGGGCTGGTTCTGTTGGCTGCCCGCCGCCGGGCTCAGCTGCTGCTGCTGCTGCTGCGCGCTGTGTGAAGCGGCTACTGCGGCGGCCGCAGCGGCGGCGGCCGCGAAGAAGCAGGCGGGCTGGAGGAACGGCGGGGGAGGCGGAGGATGGCTGGCGCTGCTGTCCATCTTGGCAGGGCTGCCGCTGGCCATTGGGCGGCCGCACGGAGGAGGCAAGGCGCGCGGCGGGGCTCGCGGCGTTTGCTGGCCTTAGGCGCGAGGGAGGTAGAAGAAGTGAATCGGGAAGGGAAAGGGGGGGGGGAAGGCTTGCAGAAGGTAGAAAGCAAGCAAGCGAGCGAGCTCCGACGGCCCCGCTTGCTTTCCCTCCTCCCCTTTCTTTGCAATCGAAGGAGGCTCGTGGCGCTCGCGTGTGTGCAGCCTGCTTGGCCAAAGCTCTTTTGCCAAAAAAAGGACCAGAGATTGTCTCTCTTATAAGGGATGGCCGAAGCTCCGCTTACCGTCTCTCACCCCCCCCCCCGCTCTTCTTTTCACACTTCACTCCCCCCCCCCTACGCTCGCGCCTCCTCCTCCTCCGGCTCCCTCTCAGTCTCCTCACACCCACCCTGCACCTTGCGCCTTCCACGCTCCCGGCTTTTACAGTGAGTGGCAGTGAGCGGAAGAGAGTTGCCGCCTTTTCATTGAGGGGAGGGTGGGGTGGGGGTGAGGAAGGACTGGATAGACGGGTGGCGAGGAAAGCGTCCCCCCATCCGCCCCGCGCGCGCGCGCGTGCACAGGCGGAGACCCCGGCGAAACCCCCTGCACACGCGTTGGGCCGGGCTCCGCCCCTTCTTCTCCCCTCCACCTCTCCCCCTTCCAAGGTTTGTTGTTGCAAGTGCGTGCGCCCGGCGCGTGCCGTTGGCCCAGCCGCTGAATAAACAATTGGGCTGGACCACAGCTTGGGATGGGGGAAGGATGGGGCCCGCACGGATCAGCGAGCGCCGATTGGTCGACCGTAGAAGTAGGCGGCAATGGGACGGGTGTGTGTGTGTGGAGAAGGAGGGGTGGAGGAAAGGTAGCCGGGAAGGATGCGGGACGCCCGGCGCTCGAGCAGAGGGGCAGGCTATCCAAGGGACGGGGAGTCTCTGCCCGAGGGGTCCGGACCCTTTCTCGTGCTTCTAGGCCTGGGTGGAGGGAGACGACGGCGCCTCTTTAGAAGCAGCTACTGCTTCGAATGTAAGAAAAAAAGCCAGCTGGGTGGCCCAAGGCGGCGGACGGGCTGCCGGGAACAGCGCAACGAGTGGAAGGACCAGCTTTTTTGCAAGGCGCTGAGGCGGCTCAGATGAAATAGAGGCGGAGGTGGAGCGCCCGCTTGAAAAGCTCTGGGGAAGCTGCGGAGGTCGAGAGGGACGGCCGCTTTTCAGTGCGAACCTGGCGACGTCCATGAGCTAGACGCGGTGTTTCTCAACCTTGACCATTTTAAGGCATGTGGACTTCAACTCCCAGAATTCCACAGCCAGCATTGCTGGCTGTGGAATTCTGGGAGTTGAAGTCCACATGCCTTAAAATGGTCAAGGTTGAGAAACACTGAGCTAGAGGCTTTTCCCCACAAAGGATGCTTAAATCCCCGTTTCTTTTTTCTCCTGGCGCTCTAGGAGTCCGCGAGGAAAGGCAAGATACTTTCAAACTGATTGATTAAATTGCCCGATCAATTTGTTAACGATATTTCCCAAAGGAAGAAGAAAGAACGCTTTGAAATTGCATTAGCCGGTTGATGCGTCTTTGCTTGGAAACGAGTCCAACAGAGTTCAGGGACGACTGGTCCTAAATACAGCATCCATATTTACCCTCATGCCCGCCAGAATTGTTAACTGAAGATACTCCAACACCGCAATAAGTGTTGTCCAGTCAGGTATCCTTAAGGCCCTTAAGTTGTTAGGGGGATAATAGTTTACAGAGTTTGGGGCCAAACTAGAATTATTCAATATATGAAATAAACAGGTAGATTAATACTGATTCAAGTCATTATTTATTCCAGTATTTTGCTTTATCTCCACCTCCCATTTACTTGGCTACAAGTAAATGAGCTACAAACAATTGGGTGGGGTGGGGGAAATCACATTATATATTTCCATAGAAAAGTTGGTGGGTGCAGAAATGGATATTTCCCCAAAGCCTACTCGTGTGCAGAAAACCTCTGAATCCAACACATCTGCAGGCCATAAGGTGAAAGAAAATTGCTGCACGGTAGCCATGTTTTAGTGCCTCTTTGACTGGAATATTGCTGGACTGGACTGCATTTCCAGGTCTGAATCCAGTAGGAAATCATAAAGAGTATTGCAACAGAGATTAGCTTGTGAGAAAGAAGAAGTTCAGATTTGAAAATATTGATTTACAAAAGATTCCTTACCCTGATTGGGTTTACATCTGAGTAAAAATGATTGTCAAACTGACAGAATAGTGGCAAATATCTGTAGCTTGGGTGTAGGACAGGGATAGGCAACCTTGGCTCTTTTCTGACTTGTGGACTTCAACTCCCAGAATTCCTGAGCCAGCATAGCTGGCTCAGGAATTCTGGAAGTTGAAGTCCACAAGTCAGAAAAGAGCCAAGGTTGCCTAACCCTGGTGGTAGGATGTTAAACACCGCTGAAGTTGTTACCTAGCCTGGTAATGAAACGTTAGGAAACCAACCCACAAGCTCAGAGAACAAACCTTCACCCTCACACAAATGTACATAGATGGTTTCCTCTTACAAACAAGAACTTGGTGCCCTTTTTTTTTTACTTCTAGTTTGTCAAGTTATGTATTCTTATATTGCATTCTTTTTAAAAGCATTTTGTTAATTGCCCAGAGCTGCACTGGTGAAATGGATAGCCATATAATTCCATTGAAATAAACAAAATTGGAAGAAACATTTTGGTGAATTTCTTCTCAAATAAGAGGAAATCTCTGCTTCTTGGGAGCACACTCACTATACATACCAGAAGTAATATAGTGTTTTCCCTTTCTCCTGAAAGGAGGCATTTCTCCCCCCCCCCTAAGATTTAAGCCATATCTGTCTCTTGGATAGATAATAAATCCAAAGCCCATTGCACTTTAACTTTTTTTACAGCAGGGAACTTTGTAGCTGCACAAATTTCATGGCTACAAGCACACCAAGACTCAGGAGAGATTTATAAAATGGCTCACTGAGGACAAATATCCAGCCACCATTGTAACTAGGCCCAAAGAATTATCGTATGGATTTAGGTTCATTTTTATGAGTGATAGAGAGGAATTACATTTCTCAAATAGCTTGGCATGAAATACCTTCTAAAGAAAATCTCTCATACAGTGCTTCAGGGGAAGCAGTCTTGGGTTCATGAGCACCAGTTATGCCTCCCTCGGTACTTTCCTGGCTCCAGTCTTCAGATGTTGTGTTTTTACAAAACTATTCACAAAATGAATTTTACACACATGTGATCATACAGCTTCAAGGTATCTCTTGGCACACTTAGAAAATAAAAATAGCAATAGCCCTATACTTGATTTAAAAGTAGGTCCACTTGCATACAAAAGATGGTTAAGCTGAGCTGGACGGTAGAGATTATCTTGTGAAATTGAGGTGATGGGAGTAATCTCATCCATATAGCTTTCTCTTCATGACAGCTTTGTGGGGAGGAGGAATCAGGCCTGCCAAAGGACAAGTAAACTGATGGTCCAAATGGACAGAATACCAAGATAGTTGCATTTGTCTGCTTATATGCCTGCGATGCTGATCATTGTCATTATCATTGCTGGCATTGTCTTTATATTCTTACTTATGCCAGATATTAAGTGTGAGGTAGACCTAAAGTGTAAAGACTGTTAGATTATGGTGACTGAGAATGAAGTGAGCTAAATTCCACCATATGAGAAAAACATAAGCTTGGGAAATAGTGATGTGAAAAGGCCATGTATATTTTTCAAGAGTTGTATAAGACCTGATCCCATCAGAAGAGCAGGTCAGCAAATGTAGTAGAACAGCATTATTGAGTTCTGAAATTATACAGTGGTTCAGACTGAAAACAGAAGATCATAAAAAATGTAATACTCTAGCCCATGGGTGTCAAACTTGCCGCGTCATGTGACCTGTCACGATGTATCTGACTTTTTTTGCATTGCTGGAGCTGGGGTGGGCGTGGCCTCCATATGATGCAACTGGCCCACAGGCCGGCAATTTGACACCCTTGCTCTAGCTTATCTTTGCCAAAAAAGATATTTTTAAAGGATACCCTTTAAAAAAGTCAACAAAAATACCCATCTATTTTGTTACCTGAAAATCTCCAAGTCCTGACAAAATAAAACATTTTCAACTATTGGCAGAAGGTCAACAAAGAGGGAACTACCAGCTGACTATCATTTGGTACAGATTTCCAAAACCTAGTAGTCATTTTTCTACTCCTTCCTAAACATTTATGGAGGACCAAGAGAAAAGTTCTTCCAGAACTACTTAATGTTAGAAAACCTGATCCTAAGCCATGATAAGTAACTCATAAATAACATTTTAAATTGTACTTGGAAGCTGGCCATTAGCTAGAGAAGATATTTTTACAAGAAACCAGTACATGTTCAAAAGATCTTGCATGTATAGTAGACCAGTACCTAAATGCTCCAGCTTACACAAGCGCTTATCTAGGTGACTAAAAGATCCTGTAGTTGTATTTATATAATATACTAAGATAGGTTAGTTTAAACTTGGTTTATTTGTGACTTAGCAGATTGTCTGAGCCAGCACATTTCATTAATTTGGGACTCACTGGGCGGTGCAGATCCAGAAAACTGCTTAATTTTGCAGCCAAGCTAAGCATGTTGTATGAACCCAATCTTCTAGTTCTTAAAGGGATATCACACAGAAGGAAGAGAAGGAGGTGACAGTAGCAATGATCTGCTTTCTATTATCTCAGAGTGTGAGAAAATGGAGTGATGTGTATCATTGGGATAAACTATACATTATATTCTGGTTGAAATAAGCATTTCCTAAGGATAATAACAGTTGGGCAATTGCTGAATGTGGTCAAATAAAGATTCGTGAGACATTTGTCTATGGGTGTTTTTAACCTGAATTCCTGCACTGAGCATGAGAGATAGTAGAATTGGTCTCTTCCCACTAGAGGCTTCCCATTCTAGACATTCATGAGCAGCTAATTAGCAGAAGTGTTCAAGCATGAATATATTGCAACAGGAAGACTATTTGT